CCTCTTTTTTTTTTTGTTAAAGTGACTTCATATCCCTGCATAATATATCTTCCATTTCACGATACATCCTTGTAGTCGAGATTCGAGAGAAAGGGAATTTTTCCTCCCCCACCAGCCACTTTATTTCATTATTTTCTTCTCGCAACAAACCTCTCACACCTTTCTTCTTCTTCTTCTTCTCTTTATCATATCCTGTTATCGTCTTTGTCTTTCTATTTTTCCTTCAATCCCCTTAGGCCCATTTCCTTCAAACCTTTCTATTTTTTTTTCATTTTTCAATTCACTTAAATTTCCCCACAATAAACATTTTACCAATTGTATACATTACGACCATCATTGTTCGTTGGTTTTGACGTAGAATGAGAACGAATAGATGAGCTAACAACATGGGAAGGAATTCAAGGGTTGATAGTTTCGTAATTGCATCTAAGGATTGAGACATTCTCACTTCCGCTTAGATTCCTCAGCCACGTTTTTTCAGGTTGATTCTCTTTTCTCAATTCTATTTTCTCACGCTCATTAAAAAAAATTCTACATTAAATTATGTAAATTTAGTCATTTTTTACCAAGATTTTTTTTGCATTATTTTTACAGTAAATTTAAATTTACTCAACTTTTTAAAAATTCAAATATAAGATATCTCTATTTTCCAAATTCATTTTTTTCCTTTTAAATTATAAAAATTCATTTTTAAACTTATTATCTTAATAGATTTAAAATTTTAAATATATAATCATATTTTATTAAAAATTAAAATTTAAAATATGCCTAATTTTGAATTTTGAATTTTATTTAATTAAAAATTAAAACTTATAAATATTTGGTTTCCACTTTCTTTTATACAATTTTACCCCTTATTATTATTGATGTTGATGGTTACTTTCTTTCAAAATAATAACCGTAAAGTAGTGGTTACTTTCTTTCAAAATAATAACTATACGGTGGTTACTTTCTTTCAAAATAATAATCACACAAATAAGTGTCGTTAAGTATGTTATTTTCAAAAAAATTATAAACCAAATTCATTCTGACTTTATTATGAGTCTCAATCCAACGTTTTGTAAGATAGTATTTTTTTTCTCTCACCAAAATTTTCATTCAATGCTATCACCAAATCACACAATTATCGTATCTAATTGGGTTGCACAATATTCTTCTGACAACATCACTCCCTATACTTTCAAGCAAGAAACAAAACATATTTTTTGTCCTAAAAAAAGTCGAAACGCATTGTTGAAATTGACTTACCCGCTTGAATCCAGGTTCCATGACTCATTGCCAATGATATACATCAATATCTTCCATATTGTGTTTTGATCGATGAAGGTCATTAGTACCTTTGATCTTATGCTTTCTCATTTATAGTTTCCAGGTTAGTATTCTCTTATAACTTCTATCTATAACTTCTATAACTTAAGATTTTACCCTTATTGATGATTACTTTCTTTTAAAATAATAACTACACAATATATCTATAATTTTATCCATTTTTATTTTCTTGCTCTTAGAAATTTTCTCTACCTCTATACAATTTTTTTCCATTCTCCCTCTCTACATTTTTCTCATCCCAATCAATTCTCAACTTTCGCTTTATTCCAAACTCATCCCCACTCTATCCTGGTATGAATCACATTTGCAAGCAAGTTGTATTATATTTTAAGTCATCTTCTTTAATGTTGGATATAGTGACACATGGTGTAGAAAAATAATACTCTGACCCCGACAAGGACACCATTAAGAAGCATGACTGTGGTTATGACGATTAGTACACCCTTGATGATCATGACTTACATGAGGATGAAGAAATGACTTAAGACTCACAAGTCCATCAAACAAAAATTATGTTTTGTTGTTTTTTTTTTACATCATCTACAATTAGATATGCTAAAAATTAGAATAAAAGGAGTGTAATTTTGTTTTTCTTTTCTCAATGATAACATCACATCAATGCTATTAGTTACACAAAAATGACATCTAACATGTCTACAAGTTATTCGATTTAAAAGTAATAGTAAAAATTACTTTTAAAAGTTTTAAAATTTACAAAGACATAAATAAATTTAACTATATTTGGAGGATATCTTTTACATTGAATTCATTTAAAGTTTAGTCAATAGTAAATTTAAATGTATTTTTCTATCATTTTATGTTTAATCAATTTTTTAAATGTCCATATTTAAAATATATTTGTTTCTTATTTTGATTTTTATTTTAATATATTTAAATTTTTTAAATATATTTATAAATATCTAATATAATTTCAGTAGATATTATAAATTAAAAAATGTTACAATTCAACCATGAAACATAAAATTTGATTTATGTTACCCAAATAATATAATCACTATGTTTGATTGAACTTAAATGTGTATCTTAAATTTATTCTATTTTTTTCTCAATAAAATTGGGTTTACTAAATTAAATATGTTTCTCAACTTTAATCATTTTTTTTCATGAAATTATGTTAGTTTCAAAAGTTATGTTTTTAATATCACATATTTATTTTGTAGTGTTTAACTCTTTTGTATTAACTAAAATTTGGAAAATGGTGAAAAAATAATTGTTATCTAAAAAATTAGAAAGGTGACATAATAATATGGTTGTGAAAATATTTTATATGTGTCAATTTAATAGATATAAAAATATAATTTTAACATTTCTTCATTTAAATCAATTCTAACTCATATTTTTCTCAATATTAAGACACTTGAAAATGCAAGATTGAGTAATACCTATTATATTGACAACTTTCATGCAAAATAAAATATCTCTATTTTTTAGGTTATGGTTATTTCTTTCATAAAATAAAATAAATTACATGAAATTTTAAATATCTCATATTGATACATGACATTGTATTATTTATTTTTGCAGCTTTTTAAAGTCAAAAAAATTATGAATGATGTATTATATAAAGAATTGAAATTTATTATTGAAAAGTGTGACATTATTCAATTTAATTATTTATTAATTTTGATATATGTTTTAATTATGTTAATGATAACTAAAAGTAATAGCAGAATAACCCTAAATGTGTGGTTCAGCGGTAGGGGTTGATCTACGCTTAAGCAAGGTCAGGGGTTCGAATCCTGTGCTATCGGCGGTGGATACTCCAGGTACGAACCAAAAAAAGAAAAGTAATAGTAGAATGACATTTAATTTCTATCATAAATTGCAAGGAACCCAAAAATTGTCCTGAAGTGAAATCTTTATTTGGTATTCCTATTAAGAGAATTTTATGATAGTAAAACATCATATTGTGTAAAATTATTTATATAATTATATGCCAACAAATAAATTCATTCGATATATGAGTTATTTTAAATTATAAGATAATACATATATAGAAGCACGAAGTGCCTCGGCCCCACTAGTAGTCAATAAAATTGATTGTTTTGAGTCTACAAGATTAATGATTAAATTTTTTTTTTTTTAAATTCAATTAGAGATATATGCATATGCTAATTTAAAGTCCCAAAATTAATTAATGGTATTGATTAAACATTATTGTTAAATTAATTAACAAAATTAGTAATAAAGATAAAATTTAACATATCTTAAAAAAGAGAAAACAAAAAAGTCCACATTTTAAAAATTAGAGACTAAAAAAGAAACTTTTAGATGCTTATAGAAATAAAAAGGATCCAAATTTATTCAAATATAATATATTTTTTTACAACTATAGTATATTCTTTTTAGATTTATTAAAATTATGCTATTTATTTAATATAATAAAAAATATTATTTTTAATTAAATTATATATCTATTTTTTATATATATAACAAGTATTTATATTTTAATTAAAATATTACATAAAAATTTATATTTATCGTATTGCCTAAGTTTCAACAAATTTCAGAATTGCCCTCCTGATATATAATATAAAAAAATTGCCAGATTAATTGAATTCATTCAAAATTTCATTTAAAAATTTGTAAAAAAGGAGTCATGTATTTGTAGCTAAAACAAATGCACATTTTTTGTGTGTTTATACGTTAGTACGTAGACTTCTAATAAATTGATAGATAAACGCATATACGTAAATCGTCAAGTATTGTGAAATGGTTAATCACACCGTAAATTTAATTTTTAGACTGCATCTGTGTTATTCTTTACAACGGCTCAAATTTTCAAATATATCAGATCAAAGTGAGAGTTTCATTTCAAGAAGAAAAGGCGAAAAAATCGTAGCTGTTGATAATTTTTTTTTATCAAAATAAATTTAAATAATTTCATAGTTTATTATATATATATATATATATATTTGCATAAATATTTAATTTTAAATATTAATTATTTGTTTAATAATTATATGTTTATTGTTTATTATTATTATTTTTTTTACTTTACACGAGGTTTATTTTTCTGCTTATGTCATGCATGTAGTTATTTGTTCCCACCTTTTTGTAAGGATAGCACTATGGCTATGACTTGACAAATCAACTCGCGTAACACAGTATTTATTAATGGGTTGGGTAGGATAGTATAACCTGTTGACCTTTTCAACTTGTCCTATATATTTAATCCATAACGTACAAAGATGGTTAAGATTTGTTGAGTCTAGTATTTGTTGAATGCTTTGCGTGGATTGAAATTTTTGCCTTGACATATATATAAAGCCACATAAACTTACTACAGCCATCAACCATGGTTAAAAATAGAGTTTTCCATCATAAGTAGCTTGCTGTTATGTTGGCAATATTTGTAATATCATGAATTTTTTTAAATAAATTAATGAAAATTTTAATTAATTAATTGAGAAGTACCACTACTACAAGATGCATATTCTACATCGGTTCTCTAAAGTTATCTACATCGGTTTTAAAACCGATGTAGAATAGACCGATGTAAAAAATGTATACATTTTTACATTGATTTTAAAAAATCGATGTAGATTGCATTTAAAAAAAAATCATGACCCAGTAGGAAGGTGCCAGCACAAACTAGCAAGGTGGCAGCACAAACTAGCAAGGTGGCAGCACAAACCAGAAGGGGACCACCACAACCCAGCAGCTCAAAACCCACTAACCAGCAGCAAAAATAGATCCCACCCTCCAGGGCCTGAGATTATGTGAGCATTTACTATATGTGCCCAATCCAATATATGAAAGATCCCTCTGAGATAATGGAACAGAAACAAGACAATGGAATATAAATATTGAATGCAAAAATAGATAAAAAGAATCCAGAAAATGGATTCCATGATAGTTGAATGAGCAGTCTTACCCTTCATATTGCATGGTCACTGTGTTACCAATATCAGCAAATTTACGATCCTCAAAGATTAAGAAGTTATGTTTTTCTGCAATCTTTAATTGAATAAATCATATATTAGACACCATTAGACCAGAAATGTAAAAGATTGCCTGAAACTTATGCACCAAAATGCTCATAGTACATAACAACCCTATTCATATGTTAAAGGAAGGAATTGTCATCCTGTTTGAATAAATAATAAATAAATAAATAAAAAATCTTCTAGTGGGTAATGTCAACAATATCAAGAACCAAAAGGTTTCTTGTGCTATCTTGAAAAGAGAAGAAGGCACATAAACAAAATAGAATTTCTATTAGTGTCATACCGAAAGCAGTTTTGAGCCAAAATCAGGAGTAAAATCTGGAAAAATATCCACATGAGTCTTCAGCAAGCATATCTCAGGTCCAACCTGAAAGAGTAAACCAACCAAATTAGTTAATAAAATACATATAATCATGGCCAATCATCTAATTAGAATCCAATTGATGTTAAGAAGCCACAAAACACCAGATTCTTTCATGTAAACGAGCAAGAAAACATTTCATGGACAAATTAAGAAAGTATTCTGCAAGCTAATGATCCAACTGAACACAATAGTACATGAAAACTAGAGATCAGAACAACCTTTTCAGCAATTTCAAGCAATTCAGCTGCAGTTCCAACATCAGCAACCAAACAGAGATTACTCTCCTTCGTAGCCATTATCTCAAACAACCTCTTTCCCATTGGATTCTTCGACAGCTTAGCCCTCTCCCCAAATGACAAAGCCTTGACCTTAGTTGCTGCAGGCTTCTCCATTCCCAAGCCCACTCCGTCGCGGCCCAAATCAACGCCAACTCCGCCATGCCGCGCGCCGTAGTGGCCTAGGTCAAGTCCCTCTTCGACTCAGCCCAACGCGCTTTCGACTCGTCGCTCCACATCCTCGTCAACTTCGCCGGCGTCAACGAAGGCGCCTACCCCTCCGTCGTCGACACCACCGTCGAGTCGTTCGACCACATCTTTACGGTGAACGCGCGGGGCGCCTTCACCTGCGCGAGGGAGGCGGCTAACCGCTTGAAGCGCGGCGGCGGGGGGTGGATCATCCTGCTGACGACGTCGCTGGTTGTGACACCCTTACTACCCCAACACATATATTGTAATAATGAAAACTTACAAATAAATTTTTTTCAATTTTGGTAAAAGGGTTCACATGAGAATCTTCAAAATTATTCTTCAATAACCACAATAATAAAAATGAAACGCAGGAGTTTACAAATTATTTTCTAAAATAATAATTACAATTCCAAATCCATATAAAAATCCATGTCCTAAAAATCCTCTGCCCCGATGTCACAATATCAGAGCATACCCACAATTCAACTGTTGGCATTTTAGATGCCACTAGAAGCCGAATCTTCCTCACCTAAAACATCCACAATTTGTACGGTGAGAAAAGAAAATACTTATATGCAAAACACATACAAACACACCACAAATGTAATCTCATCATAACTCGTTGCTTAATAAAATATTTACAAGCATTCATATATATATAATTTATCAATCATTCATCATCTTCACATCTCAATTCACAATTACATCAATCCATTACAATCCACATAAATCTTACAATTAATACTATGTCAAGACCACGCCACACAAGGCCACGTCACAACTGACATAAGTGATACGGGTTAATTGCCTCACTCATCCCACACCATGCCAGGGTCACGCCCTCCCTGTAGCATCACTTACCCAGGGGCCGTGTCATCCCTAGTCATTGATGTGAGGAACCACAATCACATCACAATCCGCACAATCTCTTGCAATTAACCCTATGTCAGGGCTGCCATATATTGACATAAGTGATACGCGTTAATTGCCTTACTCATCTCACACCATGCTAGGGTCACGCCCTCCTTGTAGCATCACTTACCCAGGGGTCGTGCCATCTATAGTCATTAGTGTGAGGAACCACAATCATAATCATATTCACATTCATCACATCTCATCTTATAGCTCAATTCCATATCACATACACAACAGATAAGTCCAACAAAATAAGGGTTTACACACCCCTCAAGCAATTCACATCTAGATCATCAATTTTTATCAATCAATACAATAATAACATTCATAAATTCCAAAACCTAGCTCACAGGCACTTTTCTACAGTTTCGTTCTCCCTCTCAGATCATCATTCTTACAAATTAAATATATATTTTTAATCCTCAACACATATAGAATCTAATGGGATCATCAATTTCTCAAACAGAAATAATCCAATTTTTCCAAAACCTAACTTACAGGCACTTTTCTATAATTTCGTTCTCTCTCCCAGAGCATTATTTTTACAAATAAAATATATATTCATAATCCTAAATTCATACAGAATCACATAAAATTAATAATTCTCCAAACAGAAATAATTATAAAATTACTCATAATCTTAAGGGTTCTTCCTCTACCCAATTCTCTCATGTAACTCTACATGTAAATAATTCCCTTTTCCCCCGTACATGGATATGTAGAAGCTGAACCTACACAAGATCTGGTTGGTCTCCTCCGATGGATTCCCCTCGGTCTAAAGCAAAAAGTAGAGAGAAAAGAAGAGAGAGTAGAAGAAAAGAAATCAGAAAATGAGAGGTGTGCTTTTTGGGAGTGGCAAAGAGCTCAATTTATAGGCTTCAGGCTTCGCCGGAACGACCTATTCCAAATCCGGAACGGCCCGTTCTGGACCCTTAAATTACGACTAAAAAATCGCATCCAGAACGGCCCGTTCTCAAACTAGAATGGCCCGTTCTGGGGTGCATTTAATACTCACAACGGTCATATTTTGGAACGACCCGTTCTCACCTCTGGAACGGCCCGTTCTCAATTTGGAAACGCCCCGTTACAATTGTGGAACGCCCCGTTCCCATCTAAAATTTGTAGACAATTTTTGTATTTTGGAATGACCTGTTCCAATTCTGAAACGGCCGTTCCGGGCTACCAAAAGTAGGTCTATTTAGTATTTCGGAACGGCCCGTTCCAATTTTGGAACGGCCCGTTCCAGCCTACTAAACTACCTTAATTGGGCTCTTGGCCCAGCGAAAATTAGGCTGTTACAATTCTCCCCTCCTTCATGAAATTTTGTCCCCGAAATTTTTGCAATGGTAGACTCCTCGCTTCTTGCTTTCTAATTCCCATGCAACCTCATCACCTTATTGATGTACAACTCTATCAATTTTACCAAGGAATATCTATTATCAACAAGGTTAAGACAAGTAAATTTGGCGAGTCTATCCACTATAATCCAAAAAGAATCAATTTCTTAAGCATCTCAGACAAACTTATAACTAAGGTTTATCTACACACCATCTCGCTTCCAAAATGGGACGTCTAAGTGCTACAAAAATTCCTAAAGACTTCTAGCATACTAAACACGAGTATACAAATTCCTCTACTCCTTTCCTTATCTTAGGCCACCATGTTTCCGCTGCACCACTCTGATACATCCTCCTAAGGTCCCGATACATCTCAGTAGCTCCTAAATGAATTTTAAGAGTACTATTATGTCCTTCCTCTAAGCATCTTCCTTAATCTGGGGTTACTAGGCACATAGATTCTATCCTTGAACCCCAAAACACCATCAACTTCCACTCGTAAAGGGCTACCTATACCCCTACCAATCTTCTCCACTTGGTTCACTTAGAAAGGCTCTAACTCCTAGGCTTCTCTAATCTCATCCATTAATTCACTAGTCTCTTTCGACATACTCAATTCAATGCTTCTAAGGGTGAGCTCACACATCACGCTTAAGTTTCTAACTCTTTAATCAAATTCAACCCTTAAATCATCAAAGATGGTAAGTGAATGGTCATCCTACTAAAGGCATTTACCACAATATTAGCTTTTCTTCTATGACCCTCTTTAAAGATCAAATACCTATAACGAAACTAGAGACACGAGAAGAGCATGAGAAGACGAAAAGAGACACGAGAAGAGCATGAAAAAATGAAAATGAAAATGATAATGAAATTTACCTTATGGGAGACTTTAAAAAATGAGAGCGTGAGAAAGTAAAAAAAAGAATGGTCGAAAGATCAAAGAGAATGAGAATGGAGGGAAATATAAAAGGTTTCTAACGATACTTTTAAAATCGGTTATTTAAGAACTGATTTTGTATACTTCATAGAAAATCGATTCTTAAATAACCGATTTTAAACGTAGCACTTTCAAAATCGGATCTTAAATAACTGATTTTAAAAGTAGCACTTTTAAAATCGGTCATAAAATAACCGATTTGAAAAGTAATTTTAAGATCGGTTATTTTATGACCGATCATAAAAGTGTTCACATTATTTACAAAATTGCCACCACGTAACTTTTAAGATTTGTTACCTTTTAACCGATCTTAAAACTCCGATTTTAAATCTAATTTTTGCACTAGTTGTAATTTGTATTCATGAATTTATGAGTACCTGTGGGTTCCCAAAGGAACCCTAAGGATGTAGTAAACTAAATTTTAGGAGTAATGGATATGAGTAAGATATCTAATAGAGTAGAAATCTTTAATTATGCTTGATGTATAATTTTACTGATTTGGATTTGTTAAATAGATATTGAATGATACGTGTGAAATTTGCATTTTATGTAGAAATGTCTATATTGACATAGCGTTGGACGCTAAGAATGGTCGTTAGGTGAGAGCATGACAGAGAGCATGGATTGCTCTCTATGACATCTACATCAGGCATGGGTACTGTCATGATTGGCGTGGGAGCTCTATGGGTTCCCTATTGTAAATTCGTTGGGTGCGAGAAGGTTGCATTGGGTGAAACCCTTCCAAAGAGTGAAGTGTGCTTTCTACTTAGACTCTGTCGAGCGCAGGGTACCCCACGTCGGGCGTTACCCTATTCTTGCATATTTGTTTCATTTTAATTGTACTATATATGTTCTATTGACGGAAGATGTAATAATAATATGAATGTATCGAATAATATTGCTTGTATGAATCCATTTTTGATATTAATCTGATAATGGTGTTATAGAACATGTGGTGTTTTGTGTGTGGACCATGTGATTAGGGATGGCAATGGGGCCCCATGGGGGCGGATAATAGTAAATCCGTTCCTACCCCGCTGGATGAAAATTGGCCCCATATCCACCCTATATCCGCACAAATATCCATGAATTTTTTGAATACCCATGAATATCCATGGATATTTATAAATTTTTTAAGAAATTAAAAAAAATATATTACAAACAATTTTAAGTTTATATTTAATGTCATTGAAATATTAAAAATAAAAATTTAATATTAATTTTGAACTTGTATTTAACGTTAATTTTGTTGAAATAATAATAAAAATGAAAAATAATCAATAACTTAAAATACATCAATCTCACAAGTAAGTTAAAGTCTCATCACAAAGCTACAATAATTCAATCTCATAATTCCAAACGAAAGTAAACAACTTAAAATAGATAAATCTTATTAGTCCAATCAAAGTTAGAAAATTAATCAAATTACATCCAACATAATTCTATAACATGCTTAATACATGTTGGTAACTTATTCATCAACCTCACTTTTGTAAGAAAATAAGATGATAGAGTGTAGTTTTAGGGTTATGTGGTACAATGATAATTAAGATATTTAAGAAATATTATTAAATAGGTACTCGCAGGTATGGATATCATCATACCCTCCCCCGCCCCATTTATAAACGGGTAAAAAATTATCCGTCTTCATTATCTGTAGGTACCCAATTAGCCTATCCGTAGCGAATTTTATCCGCAGATACCCGCGTGTGCGGGTATTTTTGCCATCCCTACATGTGATGGTCAAA